TAGGATTTTCAATCACATTTTGGAGTTGTTGTATGAGATCGAGCTAGTCCGAATAATCCTATCCTAACCTCTTCCTTTCCACTGCAGGGTGATAACATCATCATACCATAATAATTGTGAATACCTGAGCCATGAGAATGGCAATGTAACTTGTTGGATCAATGCTTGGAATCTCCATAGATGAATTCGTTCTCTATAGGGGCGCAATCTTGATTTTAATCACCACTATCAACCATCTCACAACCTGACTACCAATCATGTAGGACACCCCATCAGTTGTAGTAGATTTTCCTTCAAAGATCCTCGAATTTCTTTCCTTCCAGACACACCAACATAGACCGTGCAATAAAGACCTTGTGCACCACTCCTTCGAGTTGTTCGGTTTGATGCGAGGCCAAGCTTGTATTGTCTCTATGATATCCTATGGGACATTACCCACATAAAAAGCAAGAAAAAGTACTCCACAGTCCACACTTGCCAAATCCACATATAAGGAAAATATGACTTGTAGTCTCTAATTCACTCGCAATACACAACTCACATCTACTAGGAAGTGTCCATCCTCTTTTCCTCGAGGCATCATGAGTAATTTTCTTTTGGTGTACTAACCATATGATAGTGCATATTTTGGTCGGTATGATTTTGCCAAATTAATGTATAAGGGAATTTTTCAACCTTTTTGTGATAATTCTCTTTCACAAAGAATTTATACATTCGTGCTCGTTCAGGTGGCAGCCCGACAGCTTGTTGGCTCCACGAAGAGTAACTTGGACTCCTTGTACTGTTGTTTTATTTTACTTTGTTTTGATCGATATCTAAGCAGGCTTTGTATTGTTGGAAGGACGGAGGCTTTATATTGTTGGAAGGACGGATATGGTTGGGTGAATTGTCATGCTCCTCCAAATTGCTTTTTGCCATGCCCTATAAAATGAAGGTTTTGGTTGAAGGGAGAAATACACACGCTTGTCTTCTTTCATTCCTCTCTCTTTATGTGTATTCTTGTTTCTGTGGTTTTATTTTTCAACTCTAGAATAATTATTTGTAGCACGTTTAACTTCTTATGCACACAATTAAATGCTCAAAAGATATGAAAACTGATATGATCCCAATTGGATCACTTTCTCAACCTGAATTGCTTGATCAAGAAGCAAACTCAAACACTAACAGCAATTCTGAATTTTGGCTAAGTCATTTTTACAGTTTCAGGTTACCCACTTTGGAGGATTGGTTCTTTCAATTTACTTGTTGGAAATTCAAGTTTGATGGTTTGTATGGAAGCTGGGAAGTTTATCTACATCTTGGAATGCTTGGAAGCTCGAGGCAAAGATCAGAAGGCCATTTTTCAATCTTCCCAAAAGGCTAGCTCAAAACCGGGAAACTGTTCAAAAATGACAGACATTGAACAGTTTTGGGAAGCTCACTTGGGAGCTCGATTCCAGGAGATTGAGTGAGAGTCGAGACTCCTGATGCATACCACATGAAAGTAGGTTTCTTCTACTTCATTGAAAAGACATTGGTTGATCACAGGGGTGCCAGGAAGGGCTCGAACGAAGGCTCCAAAGATTGTATCGAGCACAAGGTTTCTGCCTTTGGAATTCAGCAAATTCGAATCCTTCTCGGTTAGGATAGGAGACTGTTTGTGTTTAATTCCTTTTTGTTGTTGATTTTGGATTCCTTTTTCCTAGTAGAATGTAGTAAGAACTTCTCTAAGAGTGTTAGGACTAGATAGGTCTATTTAAGTAGCTTTGATTTGTTGTAATCTTCAATTTTTTTAGTTGAATTGAATAAATCGTTAGGTTGAGTTCTATAGCATCTTGCTTTGTGAATTTGGAGGACTTCCTAGTTAAATCTATGTGGGTTTTCTGGCTTGTATCGTTCAGTTAGTCCCACTGTTCGTGGCCAAGCATCTACCCTAAGTTTTCGAGTCTCTCTTCCCTTCGAGAAGGTTGCACGAAATCACCATCCCAAACACAAACTCAAACTCTGTTTTGTGTTCTCCATTACAGAGTTTTTGATTCAATCTTTGGATTGAATATAGCTGTGCTTCTCTGATTCAAAACCACCCATCTAGGGGGTTATCAAAAAGACAAAAACTATCTAATTCAAACGACGTACAAGCTCCACGTATTTGACGTACAAGTACAAGCGTTGATGCATAATTCTCATTGGCAACTGCAATTTGGGTGCAATTTTAACAATTCTCCATTATTATATCTTGTTAATGAGAATATATAATTGTCAAATTATTGAGCAAAGATATCCAAAATCTCATTTCGGTTTCTGTAGATAAGGCTAAGCTCACTCACTTTTCTATTGAACCATTTAAATGATTTTAGAACCGGGAAAAAAAATCAAGTTAAGTTATTAAACTTCATCAAGGAATTTATCAATAATATTATAGCTCCTACCCTTGCATAACACAACAAGGAACAATATTATTAATGACAAATGTCAAAGGAATCAAGAACCTAACTTTAATTTAAAAGTTCAAAAAGAAAAGAACATGAATAAAAGCTAATTCTCTTCCAACTTTGGACATATATAGAAAATAGAAACCTGGCACCTAACTCAGATTTTGATAAGGTCCAGAATTCCCAAGTGTAGACTTTTCAAAGTAACAGAAACAGAAATGCATAACATTAGCTACCATGGAAAACTCATTAGTTTAATTATTAACGTGTTAATTATATAGCTTCTGAATCTCAAAACTTTGACCCTCTCAAGGAAGCTCCTAATTATATATAAAAAAAAAACCCTCATATGTCCAAGAAATGGTGGTTTCTTGTATAAAACTTCATATGGAAATGATTATGCAAAATTGGGGCATGTAATCTGTTTCTTAAGGATGCAATCACTTTAATATTTTCGAGAAATAGTATTCATGAAATCTGAGAGATCTAATCACAATGAGAAGGTGTTCGTGTTTTTTATGCACTCCTGCACTCTATATAAGTGTATTATACATGACATTTGATGTTGAATGCCTCCATCCGTGTAAGAATCCCACATATTGAATTGCTTACCTTGTCACTTTGATTCTTCAAACAGTTATACCAAACTAGCTTTAACCAAATTGATTATAGAACCATTTAAGCAATTTTGTGGTTTCGTTTTTGTGTTAGATAAAACCCAAACAACATGTGAATAATCATCTACTATATTACATAATTAATTGTATCCATCATAAGAAGGAACTGAAAAAGGCCCACGAATGTCAACATGAATCAATAAAGTTGCCGGTAGGAACTCACATTTTCTTTATAGATTTGGTTCGATTGAAGTTTGTTTACGAGTTTATTATGATTTAGGTTTGTTTTCTATTTTTATAAATATCATTTTACCGACCCCAACCTACTCGTGAACCGCATTAACCCACTCAACTCACACCCACTATCGTATATTTGGGTGAGAGCGGATTGTATTTCTATTTACCTACTTAATTGTGGGTGGTGAATTTTCGCACAAAACCCCGCCCAACCCACCTAATCCCCATTGCTATTTCTATGTGCAACCAAACCAATAACTTATAGGAATATATTAATGTAATCAAAATTAGCAGGATACCTATGTTCAATTTATCATAATTGACTTGAGTATACAACATAGTTTCCCATATTTGGTTTTTGCTTTGTACAACAAGAAATACATTTGCAACATGACCGTTGTTTCCATCCTTTTTGTTTCTTTGCAATTACTTGCCAACTTTAACCCAAGGAAAAATTAGACGTCCAGAAGATAAGGAAAAAGCTATATCTAATCCAAAACGACGTAGCAAAGCTATCTTAACAACATAATTTTCTGTGAATAATGTATAACTTCCACAAATTTGGGCTACCAACATTCTTCTTACCAACTTCAAAAAGAAACTAAACATTTTTTGTACTGGAAGCTTAAAATTGTATGATTAACATATATAGTAGCTAGGCTGATTAATTAGCTAGATGTAAAAGGCAAGTCGAAACTCAAACACAATCCAATTGAAGATATTGAAGTGTGTGCATGTAATTAGTTAATTAGGGTTCCTCCCCATAGGATCATCACTTAATTAAGAAAGCAAAAGAGGTCATTGGGCACTTCCCCGTTCGATCATCATTTAATTAAAAAAATAAAATCGAATAGATTGCCATTTTCTTTAGAGGATAAATTTTATCTTCTGAGTACCATTGTCTGGTATATTGCTATTGGTACACCTATATGATTCATTTTACATCCACTCATAAGGTGTGAAATGTGTCATTTTTCATTATTTCTTTCGCAAGTTTTTTTACGAGTTTTTCTCGAGTCGAGTTTGAGCATGACATGATATAGTATGATTAGGTAGCATCCTTTCTATGATTTCACTGTGTTAGTTTGCATGTAGTTTCTTGGTTTATCTTGTTGGAATGGAAACAAAGAGCTTTTTGGGGATTCTAAAAGTGTTGTGAGAGTCTGATGTATAAGATGGTTTGGGTTAGAGGAAATTGAATGTGTTTTTGGTAAGTGTACAAATAGTGATTTGAGGCACACACATTGTCCATTCAGCAACACATCCTTTGTTAATATACATAACATCTTATCAAAAGAAAACTAAATGTTTGAACTGTCCACTTGCATTAGTTTGTAGAATATGCATGCGATCAAGTCATTAAGTATAACGATGACTATAAGGTTATTGTCGTCACAATTCCTAAGTGTTATGATAAAGAGTTATGCCATAAATTTTCCTCAAATCATTAGACGAATCATTGATATTCTTCTCCAATCTCTTTAATCTCTATTATCCTCTTCCTATTCTAATCCCTCATTCTTCCAAATTCTCTTCTAATTCTTGCTCAAACCTCATGATCTCTCTTCAAGCATCTAAATCCCTAGTTGTTATTCATCGTCGAGATAAAATCCCCAAACAAAAATACATAAAAATCTTGTTGACATTTTCATAAACCAGCTACTTTCCTATACCCCAACCCAATACGCTATCCATTCCTTCACATATAAATACATAAACACAAACCTTCACTTCTTCAAACTAATAACAATGGCCGCAAAGCTACTATTGGTTTCCCTCTTGACACTTCTCTTCTGCTTCTTCTCCCCTTCTCTATCCGCCACAACAACAGACGGCAATCACCACGACGTCAAATGGTGGTGCGACCAAACCCCGAACCCGGACCCGTGCAACCACTTCCTCGTGGCCCAAAACCCGCAACCCGCTACCGTCACCTCTTCCTTAGCCTTCCGCAAAACCGCCATCCAACTCGCCATGGGCCGGGCCATGACGGCCCAGGCCCACAACAAACAACTCGGAACGAAGTGCCGCACCCGCAAAGAAAAGGCCGCATGGGCCGACTGCATGGACCTCTACACCGCCGCCGTCCACCACCTCAACGCCACCCTAACCGAGCCCAAATCCACCGACTCCGACGCCAGGACCTGGCTCAGCGCCGCGCTGACCAGCCTCGACACGTGTCGGGCCGGGTTCCGGGACGTCGGGTTGTCGGGTCCCGCCCACCGCCTCCTCCCGATGATGACCAACAACAACGTCTCCAAGCTGCTCAGCAACGCCCTCGCCGTGACCGGCGCCGTCGGCGGCGGCGAGGACTTTGACCCGCCGCGTGGTGAGTACAGAGACGGGTTTCCGAGCTGGCTCAACGCCGGGGACAGGAGGAGGCTGCTGCAGTCGCCGGCGGCGGATGTTGTGGTGGCGAAGGACGGGTCGGGGGATTTCAGGACGGTGGCGGAGGCGATCAAGGCGGCGGGGAAGAGGGGAGGTGGCCGGAGGTTTGTGATAAGGGTGAAGAGAGGGGTGTATAAGGAGAATGTGGAGGTGGGGAGCGGGTTGAAGAACGTGATGCTGGTCGGAGATGGGATGAGGAATACTGTTATTACCGGCAGCCGGAGCGTCGGCGGTGGGTCTACTACTTTCCGGTCTGCGACGTTTGGTAAGCGAAATGGGTTTTCGGTAATGAATTAAATTTTGTGCGTGGATATGTGTTTTGTTGTCTAAATTAATTGTCGCAAGTCATAACTCTAATATTCTCTTTGGAGGAAGAAAACTTATGGGATTTTGCTATGGTGACATGCATGTCACCGTGACATAGACTTTTCGGTCGATCGAATTGACTAATTTGGGCAGCACGAAAAGCATTGCGGTCGACCTAATCCTAAAGGCGGTCGACCTCAATTCATAGCATAATTGATGAGTCCATGTTATCATTATTTATGAATAGTTATGATGGTTTAAAGCGTAATTTAGACGAGCAAAAGAACCACACAAATCGACATACATAAGCAAAAAAGACACGGGATATAGGTTGACTTTCTTGTATTCGGTACCGGATTAGGTCGACCTCGACACCAACACTTGATCTTCATTTTACGTCAAATAATTGGATAAATTGATAGAACACTTATCGTCTATCTGGTCGACCTCTTTCTTTATCTGGTCGACCATGTTGTTAATGACTGCCATCAAGTGGTCGACCTATATACCTTTACGGTCGACCATGTTGTTTCTGACGCCAACGAAATGGCAGACCGAGGTTTATTCTGGTCAACCAAAAATAACAAGTTAAACTAATAACGGTCGACTAGGTGGTCTTTGAGGTCGACCGCAATGCTTTCTCGTGCTGCCCAAATTAGTCAATTCGGTCGACCGCCTTCAGGATTAGGTCGACCGAAAAGTCCATGTCACGGTGACTTGCATGTCATAGTAGGCATACCCAAACTTATGTTATTCACTGAAATGTTTTAGTAATTAAGTAATAGGATTCAAAATCATTCATTTAAAATGGTGATATATTTCATAACAAATTTTTTTTTTTTTTTTTGCAAACAAAGAATTTGGTTTAGTTATTATTATTATTGATTTTCAATTTGTAGTTTCAGGTTCAAATATTTTAATTAACATCTAATAATAAATATATATATATATCATAATTATTAAAAAATATTATCATAGTTAATAAATGGAATGTTACTTATATCTAAGCTAAAAATTTAATCATTAAGATGAACTAGCTACTGATATATTATAAGAGGTTTTATTGAGAATCCTTGTTTATAACTTTTTATGACTGTAACTAATAATTATTGATACACAATGTGAAAGATATATGTAAATTTCAAGTACTGTTTCTCCTTAGAGTGATTGTGATATTTTGTTGTGGTAAATATGATGATTTTCATTAAAAGGATTCTTAAGGTAGACCATAAAATATGTGTCGTAATCTACTCAAGTTCAAAAAGTCATATAATAATCGATCAGTATGTAGGGATGGCAATTTCGACCTGACCCATTTTACCCGACATGTTTGACCTGCTTTGGGGCGGGTCTGACCTGCCCCGTAGGCGGGGCGGGGCGGGCATGGGTACCTCCCATCAACCTGCCTGTCCCCACCCGCCCCGTTCTTGCCTAAATTACATGTAATCTTAGTCAAATTATTTAGGATTTTCCTTTTATTACCTCATATTTTAGCTATAATAAGCTTATAAATAAGTGAAAACCTTCATTTCTCCTATAATTTAACTACATTTCATCATATTATGGTTTCTTTCTTAGACTTTTAATGAAAATAGCGAATATTGCTAATGTTTTTTACATAACTTATATACCCATTGGGTCGACCTCCCCCAACCCGCGCCCCATGATAAATTACCCGACCTGACCTGCCACGGGGCGGGTACGGGTATCGAGATACCCGCCCCGGACCTGCCCATTGTCATTCCTATCAGTACGGTAAATCCGCTACTTTCAAATTACAAATAAATAGCAAAATCATGAGCGGCTTCATTACAATTCCTTAGAGTAAACAGCAGTTGTATGAAGTGACTCGTAATAAATTGGTATAAAATATACATCTGGTTTCAGTTTCCCTATTAATTCTTTTGAATTATATCGATGCATAATTTGCTTAACCAAACTAAATTTGCTTGGGGTTTTTAGCGGTCCACAATTGTTTTTGTTGATGAAACTAGTTGATTTTCTAATTCTTGAGGAATGGCCTCCTAATCTCTTTCATTTCTTTAAAAAGAAAACAAGTTATGATTAGACATTTAGACTTCCACAGGAATTTAACAAATAAAATGTTTTAGGTACTTGGGCTACTGCCTTTCTATAACTCAACAAGAAACATATTTATGTCTTTTAATTGGAGCAGCACGAAACACATTAATTACAAAATGTCAATGGAATGAAAAAACCTGACGGTGACATAATCCTCTTCCACTTCGGATTAAGAAACCCTGTCACCTAACCCATCCGCCCGCACGCAATTGCAGCGGTGAACGGCGCCGGATTCATCGCCCGCGACATCACCTTCCGCAACACCGCCGGCCCACAGAACCACCAGGCGGTGGCCCTCCGATCGGACTCCGACCGGTCGGTATTCTACCAATGCAGCATCGAGGGCTACCAGGACACGCTCTACGTCCACTCCCAACGGCAGTTCTACAGGGAGTGCTACATCTACGGCACGGTGGACTTCATCTTCGGCAACGCCGCCGCCGTCCTCCAGAACTGCATGATCTACGCGAGGCGGCCGATAAAGAGCCAGAAGATCACGATCACGGCGCAGGCCAGGACCGACACGAACGAGAACACGGGCATCTCGATCCACAACTCTCGGGTCCTGGCTGCCGCGGACCTGAAACCGGTGGTTGGATCGTTCAGGACGTTCTTGGGCAGGCCCTGGAGAAAGTACTCCCGCGTTGTGTTCATGAGGACGTACCTCGACTCGCTGGTTGATCCGGCGGGCTGGCTCGAGTGGGACGGCGATTTTGCGTTGGATACTCTTTACTACGGCGAGTATGGGAACACGGGTCCTGGAGCTCCGACGGGTCGGAGGGTGAAATGGCGGGGTTACAGGGTCATCAGGAGTGCGGCTGAAGCGTCGAGGTTTACTGTTGCCAACTTCATTGCGGGAAGGTCGTGGCTTCCAGCTACAGGTGTCCCATTCAACTCTGGTCTTTAGTAACTCTGTCGTCAGAATGTTCTGCACAGCCTGCGAAAAAACTGAGTCACATTTGTCAGTTCCTGGATTCTGCAATTTCATCTTGTACTCGTAGTTCTGTTTGATTTTCGGGGAAATTTGTGAAGATACTTGTTGTAACTTGTAAAGGCCTGAAATGATTGTATATAAAGATGATATGTTTTTGTCATTATTGGATCATTTGTCATTTGAACATTGCATCGATATATAAGTCATTGAGACTGTACCACATTCGATATTACGAGTTAGTATAGATCACTAAGTTACAGAATACTGAATACCTTCACCGCACAAACTGAGCCGTTAAACAACTGCCTTCGCACTTAATGCCAATTCCTGTACCCCATTGACAAAGATCTTCTGCGCAACTTCATCCGAACCTTCTGCGCAAGATACCACTTCCGGGACAAGAGCTGCAATGCGTGCTCAAGATGGATCTGTATAAGTCAACCTAAATATATCACAGAGGGAAGAAATGCTAGGGCATTAGTTCATTTACTCAAATCCTTCAGCATTTGGGAAAATGTTTACTCTCCAAAAACCAATGAGCACAACAGACCATGAAGGGGTTAGCAGCTCCAGAATCTACAATTAACAGAATGCTCTAGTCATTAGAAATAAACTGAAGAAATGGAGGTCAAGAAACTTCACTTGCAAAAGGAACAACCATGACAGCATTTTGTTCGAGTCACCAAACTATAAAGTTAAACAAGAAACTGCATGAACGCCTATTTCAGAACACCCACATTGTTCAGATTCTCCACTCTCAAGCTTCATACACCCACATTATCCAGGGATGCAAGAACAGCGGTCCGTGCTCCAGGATGCACCTGCACATATTGATTAGATCAAACATCATGATACAGAGACAGACTTGACATTTCATTGCAAATTAAAATCCTTCATGAGTTTAAAAGCAAGCAAGCCAACCTCAATAATGGAGCGAGAAATGGCGTCCCAGCTGTTATATACATTCATATTGATCTCTTACCATATTGCCCAGTCCATACTGCAGTTTGTCCCACTCAACATAGTGGTGTGCGTCATGTGGGTGTGGGAGCAAGAAAACGGTGCAAGAGTGATGTTCTCAGTGTTACAACAGTATGATCTCGATGCAACCCTGATAGAAACTTGTAGTTGAGAAAGAGAATTGGGAATTGAAGAAGAAAGGAAATTAGGGATTGAGAAGAATTGGGGAAGAATTGAGAGAAGAAGAGTTAGGGATTTGATTCTTTCTTATTGCTTAATCTCAAAATACTGTTCTGAACCCTTATATATGGGTACTGAAATAAAACAACAACCCGGGCCAATAGGCCGGCCTCTCTAACCCGCGGGCGGGTTTCTATCAAACCCTTGTAAGTAGCAGTTAGCACTTGTGAATCAAGCTTGTATGCTCCCTTCACCTTGTATAGATCAGCAAGCCTGATTCGGGTATCCGGGTTTCGAAAAGATATTCAGTTTAGAGTGATGCGCTTCTTCCCATTGATTGAAACTGGTGGCAAGCTCCTTAAATTGTATGTGTCAGCAATATTGATCTGCACATAGTTAAACAAGCCCTGTGGATTTGGCCTAGCCCACTTGCAGATGTATTTTGCCTACTCGATATTAACAGGAAAAGAGAAGAGTCAGCGGAAAACGTTTCATACATAAAAAGCATATGAAATGAGTTATGTTTAGAGCACAAACCTGATGGTCTTTACCAGGTTCATGGCAGACCACTGGGAGTAGATATCGTTTGCTGCCTCAGGCAGAGGACTGGCAGCTGGTCCGTGAGAATTGGAGTAGTGCAATATAGCAACACCAGTGACTCTCTGCCATACTATTTCATTCACATATAGGGCGCTCGACACAACATATTAGTCACTTTGCATTCTGATCCATGGTGACCAAAAATGAGCGAGACCAGCCCACATGGATATCGAAGCTGGTATAGTTCAATTGCACTGAATAATGACCTTTCTCCTCCAGAAGCAGATTGTGACCCTGAATTCTGGAGTTCAAACTTGACGAAGTGCTGATACCAATTTGCTCTTTTATATATTTTCTGTTTTATTAAAGTGAGACAAGAAACCCTGTGAACTCCTATTTCATGACAGAAAACCTCTACGTTCACGGGTACTTAGTTTTTACAGCATACTAGAGAATGACTAGCAAGTAATACCTTATGATTTCATCAGGAGAAGAAAAGCCTAGAGCCTTCAGCATCTAATTTTGTAAGTTGTCTGTGGTCCACGTCCATCATGAGCCCTCATCACAGTTGTCAATGCACATGCTGCAATTCCATAGACACAGCAAATTGTCATATATCAATGGTTGGTTTCACAGTAAGGCAGCCATATTATATTACCAAAACTAACTGTGCAAGAAGTATGCTTACCAATCAAGGGAACAGGGACCTGTGTAGCCATAAGGTATGTCTAACTGAAAGCTTGCTTCGTGATATGTTAGGATTTTATCCTCACTATATCATCGTATCAAGCACAACAATGAACCCATTTCTATGAACAACCAGGTTAGATGAAAATATAATTCATCTCTTCCTGAAAAACCGGTTGACTAGAGAAGTGTACAGCCGAAAATCAGGGGACGGGCCATTTGACACCACCAATTTATGAAGATATATCCATCCCTCACAAGCCATTTTGTTCTTGACTAGCCCCTTCATCAAGGCATTATAAGAAAATCTAGTAGGTTGAATCCCATTCTTCACCATAACATCAAACAGGGATAAGGCTTTCTGAGATTGTTTATTCCTGAAGTAACCATTGATCATAGTGACACAAATCATTTCATCAGGATCCAAACCAGTCTCAATCATCTTCATGAACCAAGTTTCAGCTTCAGACATTTTGTCTCCTTTAGTTAAACAACCAATGATACAATCATAAATAGCTACAGTAGGCTTGATTCCACACTGCTTCATCTCATCTAAAACATCAAAAGCAGATGTCAAGTCATTTTGTGTGCAGAACTCTCTCACTAGTATCAAGAAAGTTGCGAAGTCTGGAACAATTTCGTGTGTTTGCATAATGCCAAGCAAATACTTAACCTCCTGATGTAACCCATGCTTGCAAAGTCCCTTGATCAATGAATTGAAGGTGAAAGGCAACGGACGGCAGCCAAGTCCCCTGAGCGTTTCAAAAGAAGCCAAAGCAGCTTCAAACTTTCCACTCTCGCACAAGGCACTAATGTAGATGCCAAAAGACACATTTGTCAGATTGCAATTTGATCTCACAATTTCCAACAGCAGAATTTCAATTTCATACTGTAAATCCATAGTCGAGCATATCTCAAGAGAAACAGAGAGCAAGCAAGGATCTAACCTACATCCATTTCTGGCAATTTCCCTTAAGATGAAGAAAGCAAGTTCAAGTTCCTGCCCCTTTGGGAGATTTTTCATGAGAATTAGGAAAGTGACATGGTCAGGGATAACTCCTCGGTCTAACATGTTTCTGAACAATACCTTAGCATTGGAAAACCTGTTCTGCTTGTACAGTGCTGAAAGCAATGAAGTATAATTGTGGACACTTGGAACCAAACTAGAGCGGGCCATGCTATCCAAAAACTCCATAGCAGAATCCACCTTTCCGTTCTGACAGTAACCACTAATAATACTCTGGGCAGTAACTACATCAGGCTGCATGCCTAAGTCTAACATCTGGTTGTACATAATCAATCCTTTATCGGGATACCCCATCTTCAGAAATCCTTGAATCAACGTGGTGTAAGTGTACTTATCTGGTTCACATCCCATCTTCAGCATCCGGAAAAAAACCATTATTGCCATTCTCAGATCATTATGCTTGCAGTAAGCGTTTATTAGGGAAGAATACATTACTGCATCCACAAAGAAACCATGTTCTTCCATTTCTCGACAAACCCTCTCTGCATCCACACAAATTCCCTTCTTGCAAAACCCAAAAAATAGTGACTTCAACAAATGGACAGTCGGCGGCAAGCCAGTCCTGTCTCGCATTACATCGAACACCTTCAATGCTTCAACAAGATGGCCCTGTTTACACAAACCATCGATCAAGATATTAAAACACCAGAAACCCACATGCACCTTCAAGTTCGTAATCCTAGTGAAGTACACAAGTGCCTCTAGAAACCGCTTCTGCTCATATAACCCTCTGAGAACTGTATCACTGGCGGCTTCACAGGGCATCCAACCCTTGTCCCAAAGCCGGTCAAAGAGAACCAGTGCCCCCTCCAAATCTCCCAATTTCGCCAGACAAACTATCATGGAGTTTACAATATTCGAGTCCGGCTCAAGCCCTCCATCAACTATTCCGTGAAAGTAAATTGCCCGAGCGAATTGAAAATTACCGAAGCGCATGACTCTCCTAATAAGCACATAATAGCAATGCAGACTGAGCTCCACGCCGCGTCCAGTAGCGAAATCAGCTGCAGAAATCGCGTCAGCGAGAGTAGTGGAGGAACTGATGATTCTCTGAATGACTTGCTGAGCAGAGGAATATAGGCCACGACTAAGGAGATTGTCGGCCAATTCGAAGCTAAGTGACTTACGGTCAGTTGGGAGAGTAGCGAATGAAGGAGGAGGATGGTCCAGGGGAGCAACTGAAGTCGCCATTAATTTTCTGCTGCCCGTTCTGAAACATTGGAAGAGAGCCACGGGCCTGCCTTTTATCATATCTGATTACGACCATCGCCGACAGTCGAAGAATTCAGGAGCAGGGAACTGTTAAGACTTGAGAAGTAGGAGAAGCCGCCACCTGTTCAAAACCATTGCAGCGGCGGAATCACAGCGCCGCCGGCAGAGGAAGTTGTGAACCGCTGAACTCGAACCTCTTGCCCCTTTCTTCTTTTTTTGGTGAAATCCACTTTTCTTCTTCTAAAATCGAAATAGCGTGCCCAGAAATTAGCTCTGTTGAAGATTTTGGCGGAAAAGCTCTGTTGATGATTTTTTACAGAATTAGGGATTTAAATTCCCATTTACCAAACCAAACCAAATTGACGACCTTCTTCTTCCTTTAATTGGGCTCAAGTTACATTTTGGCCCACTTAGAAAACCTTAGTTGTTTGTAGCCCACACTTGATTGTTTTAAATCCACCAATTTTATGTTCTAAAATTTGAAGGCCAAGCCTGGTACGACAATGAGTTACGTACTTCTGTGTCGACAAGCTCTTCCATTTTACCTTGTTTCGAGCACAAAGTTTTGGGTATGTTTATAATGACTTTTAAGATATAAGTTATTGTGATTTGAAAAAAATGATTAATTGCTTCTGTCAATCGGTAAACTTCTTTCGGCAAATGGTATATTGCTTCCTTGAAAGTGTTACGACTTTCAGAAAGCTAATTTATCATTTTCATAAGAGATCGACCGCTTCCAATAAATAATTGATCAGATGACACATTTACATTAACACCTGTTTTTTAGAAACGGAAGACCGCTTTCGAAAAATGATCTACTGCCACAAAAATCCTCCACCACAAGACAATTATGGAATAAAAAGCAAAGAGAACCTAGAGTTTGAAAAAAGACGGAAATCTCTATCGAGTAAGTCAAATAAGGTAAATAAATGTGTAGAGATTTTTTCAAATCTACCAGAGAACAATCATCCGGGAAACTTCTTATCTATGCTCCAACTTTTGTACTAATTTCAAGTATCTTACCAGCAAGCATATCATTTAATATTAGATATCTCCAATTAAACCGGTCTATGTTTATTTCACTAGTATTTCTCACTTCTCATTGTATAGACTTTAGAGTGGGTCCGCGCACTGCCAACTGGACTGCTCATGAAGTGGCACGTAAAGTCCTGTTGCTCTCTCTATTAAAAGTTAGCTTAGGTTCTTTTGATTTTGTAGGGTGGTTTGTTAGTAGGTTGAATTTTTTTTATTGGTAGTGGTTATTTCTAACTATTGTCTTCTCATTCATCGGAAAATAATTCTCAATTGCCGCCCTTGTGGGTAATTCGGTTTCAAATTGTTGATTTTCAAAATTTAAAAATAACTTAAGAATTCGTTACTTTAATCTCGTCTATAGTAGCACAACTTTATTCACTCTAATCAATCTCGTCAACTCCTACTCCTTTTTTTGTTCGGATTTCCCATTCATATATATATTGTCATGGTTATTATTAGAATTACTAATTATTTCGAGTGTGACGTATAAACCATAATGAATCATAGAAATTTGCCCCCTGAGATCATTATTGGGAATTTAGGTGAAGGGGTTCTTCTGTTTTTACCTTTTTGGGGTGGGTAAAAGAAAGATGACCACGATAACAAACACTAAACACTTGCAATTATTACTAGACATGAATATATGTCAATAAAGTCAACATTAATGGGTGCTTTGGGCCTTTTGCACAACCATACGTGCGGCAATCAAAATTGTAATTTAGCCAGTTACCCGGGAAATTTGTAATTTATCCAAATTTTACCTCAACAAATTACAAGTGGTGGTTTGGATTAGAGTTTTCTAAAACCAGGGATTTTACCCACAATTCCACAGTTTAAAAACCTAAGTTTTTAATATGAAGAATTTTAATCAATGACTTGTTTGTTTATAAATTTGGGGTTTTAAGAACAAAATGCAAAATACAATTTTGCACCTTCTTTCTCTCTAACTGACGAAATGAAGAACCTAGAAAATCAACACAAATCGACGACTGGAATGCTCATGAGGAGACGACGGAAATGGATTTGCCAGAGACTGGGGCAGTTGATTCGTCAGGGAAGGCAGAAGATCGTCGGAGGTGAATGATAGTGTGGGGGGTTTAATCGAACAACAGTCGACCAGATCTGGAGTGATTCTGAGAAAATTGGGATTTGCAATCTTCGGCGCAAAAAATAGCACAAATCTGTGAGGGGTTGGGAAGGAGGCTCTGGGAGGAAAGGGAGAAGAAGAATAAGATGACGGGGATGGAGGGAGGAGAGCCAGAAGCGTCCTAATCATCGGCTCCAAACCCTTTGCAATAGCGACGGCGACGAGAAGATAACGCCAATGAATCTGGATCGACGACGATGGGTAGAGGACGAGGGCGATTGGAAGACGACGACGGCAGCTTCTGGCAAAGGCGGCGACAGCTTCTCAAGATGAGGGTGGCGGCTTCGACGATGGACAGACGACGAAGACCTCTGGAAGACGACGTCAATGGCTTCTCTTCTCTGGAAGACGATCGGAGATGTGAAGGTCTCGAAGATGACGGTAGGCTTCCAGTATTGGGTACATGAAGAGAGGAAGCAGAAGGGAGGAAGGGAATGACAAGTTTGGAAAGAAAGAAGAAAAAAATGTGGGATTTCAAAATAGCTGACCCCCATAAGCTATTTTGAAATCTCTCACTTCTGGGTTTTCCAAATCTCTAATGTCTACAATCTCTCATGTTCCCAAATGGAGAATTGTTTTAAAATCATGCATAATGAGAGATTCTTGTAAAATCTCTCATAAATTCCTCGTTACAAACCTGCATAAAAATGACCCCAAGAGATATTCATGATTGATGAATTCAGTAGTCAAACTTGTTCAATGTGGGGGCAATGTAAAGATGGATGACCTCGTAAAAAGTCTTCATAATGCTCAAAAGCAAAATCGTACCTGGATTGACTAAAAACAAATAATATATTTGTTAAAAAGGTTGGAATGTTACAAATATTGGTCGAGTGTAAATGAGAAACACTATTTACCCAAACGAGAAAATTGACCAATGGGAAAAATGACTCATCTTATAAAGAATAAATAAACTAATATTTCACCTAATTATTGTATTTATATAATATAATATATAATTAATAGCGCAAGCATCTCCATTCCAAAGCCTACAGCATCGTTCCTTAAAAAAAAGTAGGGACTGAATTTTTTTGCCGTATATTATTAGACCACATAGTACAAAATATATTTGAAACACAATTCTATAATAGTGGCAAGAAGTTTTATCCTCTCTCCTCTACCAAGTTTTACCATAAGCTATTTGTTATTTGCATTACTCTAAGATTTTATAAAATTAGTTAATTTTTGAATAACATATTAACAAATGTGATATTTTTATAATTTGATTTCATTATTAAACCACACATATTATGTAAAAGATTATGGATGGATAGTTATTTCTTATGTATCAATTAGACAAAGGTAATTCATTATTATAAAAAAAAACAAAGGTAATACATGAGTCGTACCTAATGATTAAGGCACTACATAAACTAAATAATAATAAATTATTTTCTATAAACTAAAAAGAGAAGTTTTTCGTAAGATAGTACCTGGAGCTTGTGGAGAATAGTTATTATTTATATATCTATTACACAAACTAGTTTATAACCCGGTCCGTTGGTCGGAATGCTCATATCTGATTATTTATATATTTATGTTACTTTTAAGTCTATCAACTCGTTTAATCTTATTGATAATCTTTTGATCGAGATGATATATAAAAAGAATATATAGGTCGAACATTCAAAGAAATATCATAATCATTTAAGAATATAAAAATGTATCATTGATCCCATTTTCATAATAATAATTAAGTCTCCGTTAAAATGATATTGGTTAATTGATTGTCAAGAAATATAGAGTATAAAAGCTCACTGGAATTCCCACACGACCCATAGATAGTTTGAAACTAAATCTTAAACCTCACAATCCTATATAAAGGGTTCAATGATCTCCTTGTAGGAAACAATATGTCACTAATCTTAAAGGAACAGAGAGTTGTTGATTCAAGTCAACTATATACTAAGAACTCAGCTAAGTGGGAACCATCACAACTTGAGAACAAACGAACAAAATCAAGGTTACCTCCAATCAGAGTAGTCAAAATTCGATTTAAACCTAAAATCCTACGCTTTTACAATTTTTCTTACCTATTTCAATTCTAATTTCACTATAAATCTATGGACATTAAAATCCTACACTATTCACGATTTAAATCCTGAAAATCTTTAAAAACTTACGATTTTACGATTCAAATCTTTGAGTCAATTTTACTTATTTCCCCCAAAATTTACAAAATTACGCATCTTTTTTTTCTCCTCCGCCAACATCATCTTGTTCTCTCACACTAACCACCATCGACTATAATCAATTCACATCAACGTATTAATCATCATCGATTCACCACCTCTTAACATTAACCTTGAGAAATTATCATTATAAGTGTTATGTGTTTTTGTGTTATTCATGATTTTCCTTACTAATATTGTTCTGTCTTCATTTTTATATGGACGTTAAAGTCCTAAGATTTTACGATTCCAATTTTACCCTAATTTTCGATTTTACGTAAAATCCCAATTTTGACTGCTTTGCCTCCAATATACGAATAGACTTGATCAAAGTAATAAGGCGCAAAATTAGACACTCTTTATCTATTAGTTCTAGTAGGTTGAATAAAAAATCGACATACTTCAATAAATCAATCATTGATTCCTCGTTTTAAGATAAAAATAGGTTGTGACAGTTGCAAAAACCATAAACCTAAAGATCCAATAGCCACCACTCTCCATTGTATAACAAAATTTTTATCTCAAGAGGCATAAGATTCAACCAAAATTCAATTTCTAATTCTCCTTTTGCAACTCCATTTATTGATGAAATCCATTCTATTCGCCATGGATTGATATCGGAGTTGAAAGTAACCTAAATCCCCAACAATAAAACCATATATAGTGCCAGGAGATACCTGAAGATTGATTTTTAATGGCAGCCTTGTACTGACCATTGGGAAGTGAAAGAGGCGCAAACTATTGTAAGATGGACAAAATTTCGGAGGAAGTTAGAAAGAGAAAAGAACAAAGATAAAAAGCACAAAATTTAAATTGAAAAATGCAAGGATACAACACGTATTAACATAATTAGTTTCTTTCATGTTAGCCAATTACCAATTTACCTTTAGCGAAAATTAAGGAGAGAGCAGGATTTAAAATTGAAGTAAAATTACATGAAACTATACTATGAAAATAGAAGTATCAAGCACGATAAAAATACATACGGTAGACTTAGTGGGCTTGCTAATCATGATGGAAAAGTTCTCTGATTTTCAGAGTTTTACTTCATCTATATTTTGTATAAAAAAGGAATCAACAAATTTGTTTGGTCTAAATGGTTGTGATTGTTGTCTTTATTTGAAAAGACTCGGGTTTAAATCTCGATATTGATATTTTTATATGAAATAAATAATGTATGTGTAAAGACAAAAATGTCTTTACTACTTTCACTCTCATTAAAGGAAATTTGAAATAGAGAAAAGTATACAAAACTCTATCATATATTATTGGAGGACGTATGCATGTGTTTCTTCTTAACACTCTATGAAACTTATTTAGGTATCTCACGTCAATAATTTTGTAAATTATTTAATTGCAACTAAATTATTAAATAAATGATGATGTTATAAATATAATTAGTTTGTTACTGGGAAGCATGAGAGAGAAAAACTATTGTTTACTAATGAACATCGAGATTGTTACAAATGGTCCATCGAATGCCGTAGTAATCAAACTCCCTAATGCCTAGTAACTAAAGGACCACTTATGCTACGATTCATGTTTAAAAAAACATTAAGCAATAATTCATCTTTTGGACTAGTTTGTCCATGCTCTAGTTTTTACCGAAGCATATCCGTATGGAGTTCTTAAGAACTATTTCAAAGTTGAGTGTTTGGTTGATAATTTTTTTTAATATCTATAGTGATGTAAATAGACTAAAACAGATTTTGAATATAAAGTATGAAAATGGTCAAAATATATCTTGTTGGATTTTTTAATATTTAATAATATTGTTTTCTGAAAAATGATAAGGATATTATTGTGTTATTAAAATGATTTTTTCGCATAAATTCTAATTGTTTTAGAGTATCATTTCATGGAGGTGTTTGACCTAATAAAAGAAATTTAATGAATTATTATCGGCAAACATGTGTCTGATTGATGCTAACAAAGAGTATATATATATAACGACAGGTAACCAACTATGGTAGAAAATCACTATAAAGCAGTGTAGCTTGAATCATTACCAAGAAATCACTAATTAATTCCGACTCACCAATGTACATGTCATTATTAAAGAACTGGTAATTAATGAGTACTAATTAACAAATCACCAACATCACTACTACCAAACAACTACTATCATCACTACTACCAAACAAGTACTAACAATTCCCTCAAAAAAAAAAAAAAAAAACTACTACTAACAATTATGTACCATTAATTCATGTACTAACACGGTAATTTACCTTTGCCTTTTTCTTCCGTGAACTTAGACACACTGTTGTTTAGGCATGTTAGTCGGTGTGGTTCCGGTTTAACCGAAATAATACCTTCGGTTAATCGAGACCGAGAGTCACTCGGAACCCCCAATCGAAGCCAAAATCGAAGGGGCCTTCGATTAACCGCCAATTGCAACCGGCGATTTTGATTTTTGGGTTGGTTAGTCGAGACCGCCATAACTGCCTCAATTTTTCAGTTTTTGGTCAGAAACCGGCCCAAAACCGATTTCAGTGACTTGTTTCAGCTGTTACCTCCTATAAATTTTTCACAAATACATATTGAACATAAAGTCATCTAAATCACACACCATAAAGTCATCTAAATCACTTGAACATAAAGTCTAAACCAACCACAATTCATCAACACATACATGCCCACAATTCAACCACAAGTTACAATCACAAGTTCACAACAAGCAACAAATAGCAAGTTCAATAACTCCAAATCATCAACCTAAATTCGAGGATCTCGCTCCAAATCTCCTGGTCCATAGTCATCATTTACTCCAAGATCTTCATTCTCGCCATCATGATTGACTTCAGAATCATAATCAACAACAACATCAAGTTCATCAACATCAACTGTGGGGATAGGAGTAGGATCAATAGGAAAACTTTGGCTTATACCATCAAGGTCACTCCCACTTTGACTACCCATTCGAGCTTGTAAAACATCATAAACTACATGAAAAGTAAATTATAATGAGAAGGAAAACTAAGATACACAAATTGTCAAATATGAAAACTAAAGCATAATGAGAAGGAAGAACTGATATATTACCACTTTCAAACTCAATTATCTCTTCAGGATCCTCTTCATCATGAACCAATTGGGAATCGGGGAATCATATCCAATCTTATGCACAGATTAATGCCTCCATCATCTTTGGGTTCAAGGAGGAACTAAATGAGGATAGTGCCCGACCTCCTATGTTGAAAGTAGACTCGGAGGCAACAGAAGAAATCGGAATAGCCAAAATATCTCGCACCATTTCAGAAAGCACGGGATATCTAATGTTGTTGACGGACCACCATTTAAGAATGTCAAAGCTATCATCCTCGTCAACAAAAAGAACAACATCATTTACATCATTCAGATAGATGTCCAACACCGAAGAACTTCGAATACCCGCATCAAGCTCTTCTTTCATCTTCCTCTTGAACTCAGAAGTCATCTTCCCTCCCATCCAATACCACTATTCGAACTCCCACGGGGAGTGGTCGTGGTGGCTCACGTAGCTCTAGCTCCTGCACTAGTATTTATCCCAACAGCAGACTCACTTGAGGGGGGAGGGTGGAGCTTCATCTTGTAATCTTCAAACAACTTACCCATCTCTTCTCTATTATCCTAGTCATTTCCTTCCCATTTCCTTC